AACAAGAAGAGAATAAAAGCAATAATCAAGCAAAAATCAACTAATAAAGAAATTTAAGAAAATTACTGAAGAAGGGAACCAAAAAAGGAAAAATAAAAATTTTGCGTATTCTTTATTTCGTTTCATACAATCTTTCCGTAAAAATTTTGAATTTAGTTTCTTAATAATAAAATTTTGCCTAAACATTTTAATCCAAAGGTTTTTGTTTCGTTTCACATTTTTTCTTTCTTATTTTTAAATTGTTTATATGCCTTTTAATTGCCTAAAACTTTTTTTTGAGAAATTTCACTATTTTTTCTTTTTTTACAAATAAAATTTTGTATAAACATCATTCGAATGCCAGAATGAATGATGTTTATATTGGTTTATACCGAAACAATTTTTAATGCAAAGTGTTTTTATCAACTTTGTTTTTTTATTTTTATTTTTCTATCACAAAATCAGTTACATTTGTATTAAAGAGTTTTTATTTTATTTTATCATTTTTAAGTCAAAACGATAATAGTTAAATAAAATTTTGAGAAGGCATTAACAATTTTTTTTTTTTAGATTTAGTTACTTATAAAGATTCATTGCCAGATTTCAAAAAAGAAGAAGGGTTGAAACACATAATTAAAGAAAAAAATATTAAACTTATATTTCAGTATTTATTTAGTCATTTTTTTTTTTTTAAATAAAAATCTAATATTTTAATTTTAGATGATAAAAGATATTGAAAAAAAAAAAATTAAAAAATAAAAAAAAAAACATAAACTAGGTATGGGTTTCGAACTCGGCGCTCTTTAAATCAAATACGAGCAAAGCATTTAAATACTTATGCTTTCAAAAGTATGCCATAATTATTATTTAACATCGTTTTGATTCGCGGTTCGTAGCCCATGACAAGCCCGATTTTTTTTTTTTTTTAATTTTTATATAATTAGGAAACTCACCGTTTTGTAGTAGTTTTAATTTACTTTTTTTCTAATATTAATTGAGTTAAGCCTAAAAATCTTGAAAATGAGAGCCTAAAGTTTTTACTATTGTTATTATAGTGGAAATTTTGAAACGTGTTGTAAAAGCCTAAAAGTGGTGCAAATAATTTGAATATTTTAAGTAAAACTCTTACTAAACGGTTCGAGTCTAAACTAAATTTTCTTGCTTAAAATGAATTTTTTTCTTTTAAAATTCAATTTTCATTTTTTTTTACTTTTAAGGATGAGCGTTAAACACAAAATTAGGAAAAATAAGTAAATAAAGAAATAAAATAAGAAGTTTGTTATATATTTTTTTTCTTTTAAACTCCGAAATGTGTTTTACTAGGGATTTTGTCGTTTCCAAATGTTGTTATTTGAAATTGTTCTTAAAGTAATTTCGTTTACATTTTCTTCAAATTTTTGTATTTATTTATTTTTAATAAAACAAAATTACTAAATTATATTTTTTTTTTTACATTTATATATGAATGGACGTATGAATGTGCTGATATGTTTAAACAAATTTCCGTTTGAGAAAGGTACAAACTCTCTTTCTCTTTAAGATGGTGTGCAAAATTTGTTAAACACAAAAATATAAAGTTTGCCTTCTTTATCAAATTGAAGAAATATTTCAATTTGTTTAAAGGAAGAATTCAAAAATGTAGAATTTATGCAAAGCTTTATAGATCGATTTCTTATTTTTTACCGTTCTTTGCAAGAAGCATCAACTAAGTTACGTGGTGAAAAGCATCAAGGCAATGCCAAATTGTCATGATCTAGGAATCTAGTTTATAATGAATAGAAGAAAAAATTTGTTTAATTACATTTAAACTTAAATTTTAATTGTGAAAACGAGCGAAATGTTGATTTGCTCGTTGAAATAATTGGACAGCTTTTACTTTGTGAAAGACTACAAAATGGTTTCAAGCGGTGTAATTCCTGACAAAAAGTCGTCGACATAAGTTCAACCCTCTAGGCTGTTGATTATCTTAAGACAATCTCATTGGAAGTTATCCTATATTAACAAAGCTAAGCCCTGTTTAACGCAAAGCTTAAGTCAAAGCAAACTTTTGCTCTATTGGACTTAATCGGTTTTGAGGATTTTTGGTGCTGCTTATGTGTTGGGTATCCCGAGAGGCAATAAGAATATTTTGTTTTACACTAAGAGCCGATCACCAAGCTCATGGGTTGACTTTTCCGATTGTATTGCTTAGCTTTCGCTTTGAGTTCTCTCCGGGAGATTGTAGAGCCTGCATTCAGGCAGATAAGATAATATAGTTTTAGAAGTAAAACAATTTCACTGGCCTTGAAGGTTTCTCTAAACCTAAAATCAGTTGTTTTGATGAAGGATCGAAAAAATTGAAGTGCCTTTTTCCTTCAAATTTTTCCTTTTGCATCTTGCCTTAAGCTAAGCCCAATACTTTATTTACCAATGTACACGAGCAGGTTAGATGAGCTACTTTCCTCAGCTAAATCCACTCCAAACAAAAAACAATTCTCTGCTATAAGCTATGCATGGCTTCAAATCCTTTCAAGTAATTAATTCCAATTCAATGGTGAATCGGATTTGAAAGGAATTTTCAATTTTATAGAATTGATATTAGTGGTCCAGTTTTGCTGGAGAAACGCCAGCAAAAATTTGAAAATTGATATTTTAGATATTTTCTAACAGAATTGTTTAACAAAGAAGGCAAACATATCCCTCTTAACCCTCCCACATTCCAAGAGTGATTTAAAAAAAAAAATTATGATTGTTTTTTTTTTTTTTTTTGAAAACAAAGAAATAAAAGATATATTGAAAATAAGGCATTTTTAAGAATTTTTATTTTCAAAAATATATTTCAAATAAATTTAAAAAAATTAGTATTAATTTAAACTTTAAAAGGCTTTATATTAAAAACGAATAGCTTAACATATAAGGTTTAAGAAATTAAAAAAAAAAGATATATATACACTTATGCAATGATAGCTAACAAAGACTAGTGTGGTTTTAATCATAAATAAAAAAAAGTGCCTTAAAAAAAAACTTAAAAGCTTTGGTTTTACGCTCAAACTTATTATTTAATCAAATATTACAATTATTTTATTATACCTAAAATATTTATTAATTTTCTTCCCCCAAATATTCTTTCAAATATATCCAAGCGATTATTAATAGACACCAAGTTAAAAACAGTTAAATAAAAAAAAAAATAATAATAAGAACAATAAATAAATAAATAATTAATG